CAGGTATTTGTGCCAAATTTGCTCCAGTGAATGAAAATACATCCTGCAGATCATTATTTACATGGCGATTCAGAATGTTAGGGTTATGATTGGGGGTCACCACACCATGAGGAACTGTATTAAGGGGTCGCGGCATTTGGAAGGTTGAGAACCACTGCTGTAGGAGGATATGTAATTTGTCCTTATTCTCTAAATAAGTATGGTTCTCCAGCAGAGGCTCTAGGTAGTAAGACCAGATCCTGTTTTAGTAGGGACATTTTAAGAAAAAATGTTCTGAGTCCTCCACTTCTGCATCTACCTCACGACACCCACAGGTTCTCCCCGTGTAGGGAATATTCTGATGTCGTCCCAGCTTGGACTTAATGTCGAGCTGCTTGAATCTAGCCCAGGTAAAAAGTTTTCTAATATATAGTGGAAGTATAAAAGAGAGATAAGTTTCCATGCCCACGTTACATTTGAATTTGGCCAGGTAAGGAGTGGCCCTAGCTTGCACTATGATCATTAGATCATTTTGTGCAGCAATGTTGAGAGCTCTTTGATATACAATTGAGCACACGTTTGCCCCAAAGTTTATTAACTCATGTGGGGCAAAACCTAACCTACTGATTGTGTGACCAAATCTGCTTAGCCAAGATGACCACTCTTTGTGGTTTCCTTGTTCTATTAGACACATGGCTGGGAGTCTGTATGATTGCATTTGTCTTGTTCTGTACTACCAATTGATCTGCCTCTTCAGAATTACAGTGGAGATTGGGGGTACTCCCATATCTGCTCTCACTGCAGCTGACAGGGGTGATCTCTCCACACCTAAGCCAATTTTCAGGTGGGCAAGTTGGAACATCTCTACCAATAAAGGGTCTTGCTCACCCCATATTTCAGCTCCATACAAAGCGATGGGGAACACCTTTGCCTTAAGAACCTTCAGAAAGGGGTGCAAGGAACCCGGGTAATTGTGATTTGCCTGCGCAGCATTATCAGCTTTTGCAATACTTAATTTTAGGTGTTGGGTCCATACCCCAGATGCCGCAAAATGTAGGCCTAAGTATTTAAATGTCCTCACTTGCTCCACTTTGTGCCCCTCAAGGTGCCAGTTTGAAGCCTTGGCTTTCTTACCAAAAACCATTCGCTGGAACAGCTCAGCAAGCGAGAGTCCAAAAGTGGCAGGCTCAAACCCAGAACCTCGATCCATGGCTGATACCAAATGAGAGACTCCACCCTGGGCACACAGAAAACTGGGCGACTTGGAAGGCGCTGAACGGACTGCGCTCTGGCACCACGAGACGCAGAGCCAACCTTAAGAAATGGGGCCACAAAGTGGAATCCACGACATTTGAGTGTGGAGAAGAGCAAACCACTGACCACCTGCTGAAATGCAACCAGAGCCCTGCCACATGCACAATGGAGGACCTTCTCACAGCAACACCAGAGGCACTCCAAGTGGCCAGATACTGGTCAAAGGAGATTTAATCAACTACCAAGCTTGAAAACTTTGTGTTTTGTTTGTTTGTTAAAAAATGCAATACAACTGTTTGGTTTGCTCCTGACACGAATAAGCCATACATATGACAGAGAGGGTCATATGGACAGAAACAAGGGAAATAATGCTCAGAGAGAAGTTACCTTGGTACTCTCCTCGAGGTCCTTGGTATTCAAAAGTGCATGATTAATTCTAAAAACTATCCAGTCGAATAGTGCACTGTACAAAGATTTAGCCATAGAATTCCGGACAGTAACAGCCTAGAATAACAAAAACAAGTATTAGAAATAAAGACAGATTATTAGTTTGCCATTTTTAAACAAGTACATTGTGTATTTCCAGCCACTTGTGTATTAAAAAGTCTTTTAGCATGTTTTGTATTCTTTCATGCAACTTGTACGAAGAGGCAATGTTTTCTCAACTGTGTCTTCCACAACTAGATGCTTGTCCATCCAATCTGACTGTTGAAAGAAGTACACATTTAGCAAAATGTGATTTCAAAAGGAGTAAACCAACATTATATAAGGATATTCCACTAATCTACTACTCTTGGGGTGCAAGCCCTGAAGGAAAGGCCTATATTTTACATCAAAAGGCTGAGTAGATGGCTTCACCTTTCAAAAGTGGCCTTTGTACATACTTTATAAGTCTACTGAATTGTATTTTTAAAACTTGGCATTTTATTTCTAATCCATTTAAATTATTTATCAGCTGATGTGTAGAGTTAATATGGAGCAGGTGTAGGAACAAGTGCATATAGTAGAGTGGTTACATGTGAACTCACAGAAAGGGGTTATCTTTGCCTGCATCGTGCATCATTCAGAACCAACAGCTGCAGACATAACTCTGAAGAGCAGTCAGATACATGTCAATCTGTGTTGATCTAAGTCGCAGTTAACCTATGCTTCTTTCTGGGAAAGGTTGGGAAGATGTTTCTGCTGCACAGCGGCTACAGGTTTTCTGAGTTGCTGTTGCTAAGCAGCCATGCATCCCACTAGGAACACAGTCCACCTATGAAATCAAGCTTCCTGCTCTCCTCAACTGGTGGAACCTTTTAGCATTTAGTATTAGTATTGGGAAGCCAATATTAGGTCAAGCTTCCTTGACGGATTCTCTCTCTCGTATATAGAACTGCCATAACTAATGAAGCTTTGGGTTCAAGGGTTGCATAATGACGGCTGTAGTTTTTATATAAAGCACTGATATAGTCACACATCATCCGTAACAAAATATATTCCACAACTGTAAACACGTAAGAAGAAGGAGGAGACACAACCAAAGGAGTCAAAACATTACTTTATTGTCTGCTTCTATTTGTGACTGAAGATTTTCCAGATTGCTTCCATTTCATGTTGTTGTTCATTAGTTCAGTCGTTTCCGACTCTTCGTGACCTCCTGGACCAGCCCACGTCAGAGCTCCCTGTTGGCCCTCACCACCCCCAGCTCCTTCAAGGTCAAGCCAGTCCCTTCAAGGATCCCATCCATCTATCTTGCCCTTGGTCAGCCCCTATTCCTTTTTACTTCCATCTTCCCAAGCATCATTGTCTTCTCTAAGCTTTCCTTTCTTCTCATGATGTGGCCAAAGGACTTCATCTTGGCCTCTACTATACTTCCCTCCAATGAGCAGTCGGGCTTTATATCCTGAAGTATGGACTGGTTGGATCTTCTCGCAGTCCAAGGCACTCTCAGAACTTTCCTCCAACACCACAGTTCCTCCAACACCATCTCTCTTCCTTCGCTCAGCCTTCCTTCTGGTCCAGGTCTCACATCCGTAGGTGACTGTGGGGAATACCATTGCTTTAACTATGCGGATCTTATTTGCCAGTGTGATGTCTCTAGTCTTCACTATTTTATCGAAATTGGTCATTGCTCTCCTCCCAAGAAGTAAGCGTCTCTTTATTTCCTGGCTGCAGTCTGCATCTGCAGTAATCTTTGCACCTAGAAATACAAAGTCTGGCACTGCCTCCACATTTTCTCCCTCTATTTCCCAGTTGTCAATCATTCTTGTTGCCATAATTTTGGGTTTTTTTATGTTTAGCTGCAACCCCAGTTTTTGCACTTTCTTCTTTAACCTTGATTAGAAAGCTCCTCAGCTCCTCCTCGCTTTTGGCCATCAAAGTGGTGTCATCTGCATATCCAGTTCATACTGAGAGAGAAATTCACTATTCTATTCAGCATACCTTTCTCAAACACTTTATTTATTTATCATGTAGAAAAAAGCTGTCATTCACATTATGATGTGAAATTATATGCCACAAAGTGACTAATGTCACTATAATATAATCCCCTCTATTTCCATTGTACAGGTTAGAAGTTACACAACCAAAATGGCAAGGTCAATGCACAAGAAGAGCCAGACTTGGAGGGAAAAAATGTAAGCATGCCCCCAAACAGCTCAATAAACACCCTCTGAAGGCAAGGCTTACTAGAAGTAAAGGTAAACCAGAGGAAAGAAGGAACATCATGGAATATCATGTAGAAGCACATATAGCAAGCAGAGAGAAACAGTAAGATTTAGTTGTAAAGCTTTAGAAAAATTTGGATTATCTAGTACATTTGAGGGCTCTTGGGCACTACTAAGTATTATTGTTTGCCATACACAATGGCAATACCTTCTCTTCAATTTCTAAAGAAGACTAATAGTGCAGACATTTCTCCACAACCCATTACCTGTAATTTCACACATGTTAAAAGGACTTCTGCACATACCTCTGCCAGTTTGTAGGGTAACACAAGCTTCTCCCCAACAGTCACCGTCTTTCTTGTAACCAGTGCTTCAAACAACATTTCTTCTTTCACCTGACAAAAAAAAACCTCTCACTGTAAGTTGCAATTCACGAGACATAGAAAAGGAGAGGGACAAACAAAAATCTAAGTTTTAACTATCTGATATTTATACACACATAGGCCCAGGATAGTTGTATTCAGGGTAAGGAATGTCAAAGGATTCAAAAGGAGCCTCCAAGAGAACCTGTACTGGCTGTACTCGTATCGTAATATTTGTGCACTGACTGGCAGCCTGGCTGCTGCATTTTACAATAGCAGAGAGAGAACCAAAGTAGGTGTTCTTTTTACAGAAATTTCCAGATAACTCTAAACTATGCAAAAACCCTTCCCAGTAATTCATTCCAAGGATGCAAACAAAAATCAGTGCTAACCAGAAAATGGCAAAAATTAAATTAAACTGAAATTAAGATAAAGACAATGTCACAAACCAGTTAAAGAGGTGGTTCAAAGTACAGAGCTAGCCCTGTGACCACAAACCCACTGAAATATGTACTGTGGAACGTGGACTAAAGGTTTTTGGCTGAAAATGTTGAGTAGGATTGTATATTTGGAGTGATTAAACTCCCTTGTGTGTTATGATTCACTGAAAGCATTTCATTCCACTTGGACACAAGCTTACATTCCTCTAGCGCAGTATCTGAAAAAGACACCGTTTATAAACCTTGTCTTCATCACACACTCAGGCTAGAAAAATAAAATGAAAAATATCATTTCAAAGAACAGTTGGCCTCCCTCTTATGATCCCAACTTCATTCCAACTTCAAAACAAAAACTGGCTCCAACGAGAAAATCTCTCAAACCTTTAGCCTCAGATATGCTTACGGAAAGGCCAATCCGAACACACTGTGCTTGAAATGACAGCACATTTCACAGCAAGACTGATTCTAACCTGTGCAACCAGATCCAGGATGTAGGTGGACATTTCCTTTTGCGAAAACCGTTCTCGATAAAGACTCATGCACAGACCTATCACTTAACAAACACCTCTTTAATCAAATCTAGTTTACTCAAGATAATCTATAGGTGGAACAGGACCACGGCTTGGTAGCAGAATGTATGCGTTGCATGTAGTAGGTTTTGGCTTCAATGCTGACATTCCCAATTTTCAGCAGGAGATAATGAGGGAAGATCTTTGCCAAAGTTACTGACAAAACAGACAATTCTAAAGTTCAATAGTATATATCTATATATATACAAAAATGCTCTGTGCGTAATGAGTACTTTAAAAACAAAAGAAACAATGAACGAAATCACACCAAATTTGGCAACAAAACATCTCACAACACAAGGAGTGACCATCACTCAAAAATTATGATTTCGTCATTTGGGAGTTGTAGTTGTTGGGATTTATTGTTCACCTACAATCAAAGAGCATTCTGAACTCCACCAACGATGGAATTGAACCAAACTTGGCACTCAGGACTCAAATGACCACAGAAAACACTAGAAGGGTTTGGTGGGCATTGACCTTGAGTTTTGGAGTTGTAGTTCACCAACATCTAGAGAGCACTGTGGACTCAAACAATGATGGATCTGGACCAAACTTGGCATGAATGCTCAATATGCCCAAATATAAACACAGATGGAGTTGGGGGAAATAGACCTTGATATTTGGGAGTTGTAGTTACAGGGATTCATAGTTCACTTACAATCAAGGAGCATTCCGAACCGCACCAACAATGGAATTGGGCCAAACATCCCACACAGAACTCCCATGACGAACAGAAAATACTGTGTTTTCTGGTGGTCTGTGGTGACCCTTCTGACACCCGCCTGGTGACCCCCCCCCCCCCCCGGGTCTTGACTTCCCAGGTCGAGAAATGCTGCCTTAAGGCCATCCAGACCAACTCCCTTCACCAGGGCAAGAAAACATAATCAAAGCCCTGCTGACAAAGGGCCATCCAGCCTTTCACACACACACACATATGTATATGACAGATGCAATATCAAAGATTTGAAAGGGGCCCCTAAAGAAGGTCAATGATATGTTGCATGTTCCAGAGTAGGCAAACCAGACAATCTCCACATCAACACTGGCAAAGAAACCGCAAGTAATACCGTTTACCCACAAGCATAAAGATATTACATATATTAGAAACCAACACTTTCTCATTACTTTATTTTCCAGATCACCAGACTGGGCCACAGCAACGCGTGGCAGAGGACCGCTAGTAATGTATAAAAATTTTAGTCAGAAATGAACTCCCAAAATTTGGGCCGTCTTATAATAAATAATCTGTATAAATAAATATGTTATGTTTGTTTGTGGGATTAACATAACTCAAAAACAACTGGGTGAATTGACACCAAATTTGGACACAAGACACCTATTAGGCCAACAAGTGACCATCACTCATAAAAACACTGAAAAACACACCAGAAGAGGCTTAAAAAGCCAAAAAACAAAAAATACATTACCACGCATGCACAAAACCATACACACACACATATATATATACACATACAAACACACATATGTACACATATACACACACACATATATATACACACACAAAACACATATACACATACTGGGCCACAGCAACACGTGGCAGGGGACAGCTAGTAAATAATAAAACTTTATTTATATCCCGCACCTATCTCCCCGAAGGGACTCAGGCTGGTTTTCAACAAAAGAATGGCAGACATTCAATGCTGCAATAAACCAACAAAAACAAATAAACAACACAATCAAATCCCAGAAATAAATCCACATATAACACAAAATTGTTACACATAATCAAAAAATAAATAACAACATAAACAATCAATTACATAGCCACCAAAAATCGACTCTGGGGCAGGATGGCCTTGCAGGGCAATAAAGGGCCAAACAAACGCCACTTAAATAAATCCACAAATATATCTTGAGATCTGAGTTCTAGAAGAAGACCTCAGTACAAAGGCAGCAAATAAACCAATTTCCTCATTTCTACACACAAGTTTTTGGCACTAAAATATACCTTTGAGCATCCATGGATCCATGTACACACTGCACCATAACATTTATCCAAAAGAAAAAAAGGAACCATGCCCTTCTGTGAGTAGAAGGACAAGTCAAAAGTTCAGTTTCTCCTGGGGAAATGCAAAAAATAATTCCAGCAGCTTATATTAAAATATGTTTCAGAATAAATAAAACAGCAAAGAAGCCAAAACGAATTTAAAATAATTAGGATATTTTAGAGCAATAAAGTAATCACCTGGGGAGCATTTATTCAGTTGTGTTTCTCTGCTTAATAAGACTTGGTTATTTTTAAATGACAGCTTGACAGATTACGCTTTGCATTCTCAGCTTCACAAATTAAAGCGCTTTAAACCTCTGCCAGCCCAAATAATAGTGTTTGACACTGATTTGAAGTATCTGTGTATTATGTTTCCTCATCATTTATGAAAGGCTTACAGTTTTTAAGAGTGATATGCTGAAAGAACCTGTGTGTCACCATTTTTCACTCCCCACCTATTTAGAAAGAACCACAGATGGGATCATCCATGATCGCTTGAGAAATATAACAAACAAGGGAGAACAGAATTCAATGAGTTGACTCCATTCAGCACTAAACATTACATCTGCATACACAATGTGAAGCAGAGTAAGGAGGGGGGAAAACAGACTACAGGTTGTGGGGCGGAGTTTTTAAATGTTTTAAAAATCTCCCCTATGGAGAAAATAATTGTGCAAGGAGAAACATCAGCCCTATTCAGTCACATTCAAGGATCACATGGAAGGGATTAGGCTCATGGGGAATACAAATGCCAAGCCTGATCCCAACTTTCCCATATGGACTGTCTCCATTCCTCACTCTTGTGAACTGAAGGAAGGCCTGAAAGGAAATCCTAAGAGCATTGAGCTCCATGCGTTTCTTTCTATGAACAGGAGAATAATTATTTATTTATTTAAAACTTTTATATCCTGATCTTCTCAACCTCCACAGAGGGACTCAGACCGGTTCACAGCAAGAATTCAATGCCACAATACAGTCTAAAACATCATACAATGACAATAGATTAAAATACATATAAAGTAAAATACATATAAGGCAATTCGCCAAGATAAAATCATGTCCAACTCAGTCCGCATATGTCAATAACTTTAATCTGTTGCCGGTCTCAACCATTATTCTGGGAATGCTTCCTTCCATAGCCAGGATTTCACTAGCTTCCTAAAGGCCAGGAGGGAGGGGGCAGATCTGATCTCAATCGGGAGAGAGTTCCATAGCTGAGGGGCCACCACAGAAAAGGCCCTGTCTCTCGTCCCCACCAGACGCGATTGCCAAAGTGGTGGGACCAAGAGCAGGGCCCCTCCAGAAGATCTTAACAGCCTTGATGGTTCATAGGGGAGAATACGTTCAGACAGGTAAACTGGGCCGGAACCGTATAGGATTTTGTAGGTTAAGACCAGCACTTTGAATTGTGCTCGGAAGCTAATTGGCAGCCAGTGGAACTGGCACAACAGAGGAGTTGAGCGCTCCCTGTACCCTGCTCCTGTCAGTAGCCTGGCTGCCAAGCGTTGGACTAATTGCAGCTTCCGGGCAGTCTTCAGAGGCAACCCCACGTAGAGAGCGTTGCAGTAGTCTATACAGGATGTAACCAGAGCGTGGACCACCGTGATCAAGTCAGACTTCCCAAGGTATGGGCGAAGCATGATATAAAAGTCAAGTATTATCTAATAATTGAGAGGAAGAATACTCTTGCCCATGTGCTAACTTGCTGTCCTGTGCAGGACTGCAGCATCTCAAAATTATGTTCCTTTGCACCACTAACACTTATTCTATTTAACAGCAAATGCAAAGGACCAATTGCCTAGGCCCTAATATGGTCTGTGTTGGACTGGATATAACATGCCTCTCTTCCTTGCTAGTTTCCTTATATTCCTTGTAGTGACTTTAACTGTCCTCCCTTTGCAAAACACCTCCTAATTTGCCAGCAGCAAGATGTTCCTACATCTCTCTGGAAGGAAAATTTTACACATAAATTTAAACTGTAATCTTATGGAAACCTTTTCTTAACAAAATGTGGTATCTGTTCACTCCTCCTTTTGTGAAAAATAAGGAACCATAAAATGAATAGCTGCTCATTCCTGCAAATTTGCTAGAAAACGAGACAAAACCATATCACACCACTTTACTGATGTCTAGCACCGACGTCTAGCAGTGATTAGCAAATGAAGTAAATCAGCTACATAATTTACCTGTCAGTATGTCAGGTATTTCACTGGAGTACAATCTATTTTAAGGCACAAAGATTTCTTAACCATGTATTCAGCTATCTCAGACTTAATAAAATACAAAGAAATAAATCATTTATTCTTTTATTTAAAAAGTACTCGAGAAAGCTAAAAAACATAACTAGGAGAAATTAAATAATAGAACTAATTAGTTAATGGTTCAACAAAAACACTGGTAGAATTTAGATGGTTTCTTCGTTTCTTCGTTGACTGAAAGAATAGGTAAAGGTAAAGGTTTCCCCTGACACTAAGTCCAGTTGTGTCCGACTCTAGGTGTGGTGCTCATCTCCATTTCTAAGCCGAAGAGCCAGCGTTGTCCGTAGACTGCAAGGAACGCTGTTATCTTCCCGCCGGAGCGGTACTATTGATCTACTCACATATGCATGTTTTCAAACTGCTAGGTTGGCAGAAGCTGGGGCTGACAGCAGAAGCTCACGCTGCTCCCCGGATTCAAACCTGCGACCTTTCGGTCAACAAGCTCAGAGCTCAGCGGTTTAACCCACTGTGCCACTGGGGGCTCCTGAAAGAATATCCAAATATACTCAAAGAATATCCAAACTATATTTCTAGCATTCTCATGTTTGCTGTACTTTCCAAGGTTTAGCATTAAGTCTACAAAATATTAAAATATTTAGGACACAGAAGTCAATAATAATCAATAAACAAACATACTTTGAAGAATGCATTTTGACATCAGTAAGAGAAAGATGGATTAAACTGGGTCCTCTTATATGTGAAACTCCATCAACTAAGTCATGTGAAGTTAAATTTAACTGTCCTTCAACCAAGAGTCTGACCAACATCATGCAATGGTTTTGAAAGCAAAAAGCAATTCAAAATATAAAGCTTTCATTTTCTAAAATAACCTGATTATAATAAGAATCCTAAACACAAGATGGTTCAAATTAAGTCTGAAAGTACTGCATATGTGTTCACACTCAGTCACTTAAAAATGAACCATGACCATGTTATGTATACATGTTGGTCATAGTCACAAGACACAATAAACCAAGAAACAGTAGGGAGTCTGGCTCGTCATATATGGGAAATAATACACTACTACACAGTGCCCTACAACAACAGATGGAAGTATTTTGGCATAGTGACTAAATGAAGAACAAAATAAGAATAAAAATCAGTCCCAATATCTACAACATGAATGGCTTACAAACTAGACAGTTTATGAAAAATTCTTGGAATAACTGAAAGAGCTATACAAATGTTAAGTGTTGCTATTGTTCGTATATCATCTGTGCCCTACACCACTGGATAAATTACACTGTTTTGCCAGTATCGCATCACCTAACATCCGCCGGGAAGTAACAGCCAATAATTTATTATTTATTTATTTATTTAAAACTTTTATATCCCAATCTTCTCTACCTCCGTAGAGGGACTCAGACTGGCTAACAGCAAGGATTCGATGCTAACAGTACAGTCTAAAACATCAAAACAATCTAATAAAACCTCAACAGTGAATTAAAAATACATAAAGGATAAAATACATAAAAGTCAATTCGCCAAGATAAAAGCATGTCCAACTCAGTCTGCATCTTGTGGTCAATAACTCTGGTCAATTGCTGGTCTCAGCATATGGAACCATATAGGGTTTTGTAGATCAAAACCAGCAGTAATAATGAAAGGACCAAGGCAGTGACATCCTCGGCCCATCCCCTGTTTGGATATCAGCTAGCACGCCAAAGCCTTAAATCAAGAAATAGTTTTCTAAGATCAACAGAGATACTCGCAGGAACACCTCAGCAACCGAGAATCCAAAAGTGGCAGGCTAAAACTCAGAACCTCAAGCCATGGTTGATACAGAATGACAGACTCTCTCCTGGGCACACAGAAGACTGAGCAACATGGAAGGCACTGGACAGAATGTGCTCTGGTACAACGAGATGCAGAGCCAACCTTAAGAAATGGGACCACAAAGTGGAGTCCATGACATGCGAGTGTGGAGAAGAGCAAACCACAGACCACTTACTACAATGTAGTCTGAGCCCTGCCACATGCACAACAGAGGACTTTCTTATAGTAACACCAGAGGTACTCCAAGTGGCCAGCTACTGGTTAAAGGACATTTAATATAATGTCAAGTTTCTAAACTTTGCGTTTTTAAAAATACAACTTTGTGGGGTTTTTTTAAGTACTCTTGGTTTGTTCCTGCTGCAATAAATAAATAAATAAATAAATAAATCACTAGAAGATGGGAAGGTTCCTTTCCAACGTCAACATTTCTGCTAAAAGATAACTGGCTGAGGTCAACAGCATTTTCTGCATTTAAAACCAAAGATACAAGAGCTTGCATCATCTTCACATTGTTAGTTAAGACTCCTCCTGATACCTATCACAAACAAAATGACCAAATACATAATCAAAAAACCAACTGACCACCCAAACAACAAATTGTTTTACCATCAGCAACTATATCCTAAAGATACTGTGCTCTTTAAAAAGATGGAACAAAGTAAAATACTAAATAAGTTGTATTCAAGTGGCTCACCTCCAGTAGCTCCGAGACAATAGGTAGGATCTCTGGGTTGCAGATATCAATAGAATCATCTCGATAGGTTTTCTTTTTGTAACAGATGTTACCCAGATGTAGTATTGCCGACAAGAGAGAAAAAATCCTACAAACATTAAACATACATGTTCACTATTTTCTTTGGAACTGAAAATGTAGCATTAAAGTATGTCACTAATGTGTTGTTATAGAGAGTTCAGCATTTTGACACACTCAAATTGAAACTGTTGACTGCATCACATTCAAACTCTCTATCAGCAAAAGAGAAATATAATAATAATAATAATAATAATAATAATAATAATAATACTTTATTTATATACTGCTCCATCTCCCCGAGGGGACTCAGAGCGGTTCCCAAGCAATATCACAAAATATACAGAGTAAAAACAACATAACCATAAGATTAACAAACAAAATATAAGCATAAAAATTGTCGCCATAACACACATATATTAAAAGTAATCCTGCCTGTTCAAGGCAATTAAAAATTTTAAAGGTCGGGCCAAGATTTGTGCAAGCCCCAAAATTCTAGGGGGAATTAATATGGCAGGCAACAATATTAAGTACAGGTCTGTGGCTGTATGTGTATTAACAACACTTTGTGTCGTTAATATGTGTATTAACAACACTTTGTCTGATATTTCCATTCCTCTGCTGTTCCTATTTTTCTGTTGCTTATGATGTAAAGATTGCTATGTCTGAAAACATAAATAATGACATGACAAATCAATAGTATGTATTAAGCACATTGGTCTGAATTATCTTCTGTTGTGAAAATATGCAATTAACAATTCAGTGAGTAATGCAATTATGTCTATGTAATGCCTATTGGAGGAATTATATTTCTATGAATTACTGAAAATGTATTTCTAATGTGTTTGACATTCCTCAGGTTCCGATCAGGCTACAAAATATTGAATGACTACTGCACTTTTTCAAGAAATGTCAACTGTAAAGGGAGGTGCTTGGCCGCTGTGTCGGACTGGATGAGGGCTAACAAATTGAAATTGAATCCAGACAAGATGAGGGCCCCCGCTTATGGAATTCGCTCCCCAGTGAGATCAGATTGCCGTCCTCCCTCCTTTCTTTTAGGAAAAAACTAAAATCATGGTTTTAGACCCAGGCCTTTGGCTAGTGGGCACACCAGCACTTTAGATACTGAACTTGGACCATAGGACTGTTACGAAATGGCTATGTGACTTTGTGATTTGTGATTACGGGATTTTAATTAATGTTACTGTTTTTAACTTTGCTATGTATGATGATTTTATATTATGTTACTGATATTGTGGCATTAAATTGCTGCCTGTGTTAGCCGCCCTGAGTCCCCCTTCGAGGGTGAGAAGGGCGGGGTAGAAATGGTGCAAATAAAAATAAATAATGAACCACATCCCAAAATATCCACATCAATTTGCAACAGCCCTGTTAATGAGGAATATTAACTTACTGTCTGCGAGTCTTGGGGAAAAAACCCACCATCTCCATAGCTAACTGTAAACGCTCAAAGTCATGTTTCAAGTCTTCCCCTTCAACAGTAAAGCAGTCCTTCAGAGGTAAAAGACAAGAACGATTATTAAGAGAGTTATATACAAGCCCATCCGAGAGAACACTACATAACACACTATAGATCTGTGACTGTTCGGCATAGACACTGGTCGGAACTGTTTAATCAGAACAGCATTCAGTTTGGCATATTTATACTTCACAATGAGAGGTAAGGATATATGTATAATTCCTACTGCAAGAAGTGCATGCCTAAGATAATACCTTGGGTAGTTAGGTAGTGAGGGGAGTCTTGTGAAAGGAGATAAACATTAGCAAATGGTTTTTTTTCCATGTCAGGAGCGACTTGAGAAACTGCAAGTCACTTCTGGTATGAGAGAATTGGCCGTCTGCAAGGACGTTGCCCAGGGGATGCTAGGATATTTTATCATCCTGTGGAAAGCTTCTTTCATGTCACCATATGAGAAGCTGGAGCTGACAGACAGGAGCTCGACTCGATCCCCGGATTTGAACCACTGACCTTTTGGTCAGCAGTTCTGCTGGCACAAGGGTTTAAACCCATTGCGCCACTGGGGGCTCTAAAGAATTAAAATAAAAATGTCATTAGATGTGTCTTCTGTCTACTGAAATGCCACCTGTAGTTTAACAAGTCTCTTGCACACAGGTATACCTCAGTTAAGAAAGTAGAAGTCTTCCTGGGCATAACTTCTTTAACAGAAACTTTGGTACGAGAAACAGAAATAATGCGGGAAGAATAGGGATAGATTCCTATGTATGTTTGCATAAATGTGCCTTCAAGTCAACTCCATAAATTTTGTATGCTAAGGAATACTGGTGTTTTTACCAGTTGCCAGTCTCTGAAATATAACCCACAGGGTCTGGTATTCATTGGCAGTCTCCCATCCAAGTACTAATCTGGGCCCATCCTCCTCAGCTGCCAAGATCATAGTGTCTTTAGGGTATGCTCAGCATTATTTTTAAATTTTAATTATTACATTTGGCCCAGCCATAGGTTTTTAAACGTCATTGTGTTACTGTTAATGTTTATTGCTTATTTTCTGTTATGAGTTTTATTTTTATTGTTTTGTATTACTTGTTGTTATTGTTTTTATTATTGATGTGTTGTGGGCTCAACCTCATGTAAGCCGCACCGAGTCTCTTGGGGAGATGGTAGCGGGGTATAAATAAAGTGTTGTTGTTGTTATTATTATTATTATTATTATGTAGGTTCCTAGACCACAAAAGAAGATCAGTTTACATACGGAAAGTGTGCAAAGATATGAGAAGATGGGGAATAATGCAGTGAAGCGTACAAGCCATGCCTTAACCTGAGTGATGTGTGTAAGAAGAGTGAATATATAGAAAGTGTATATATACAAAAACAATGAGGCATTGAAGAGGCTCTTCATGGAATTGCTGTAACCTGTTAGTGAGAAGTGGCTCAGCAACACAAAGAGCATTTAGTAACACAGTGTTAAGATAAATGGCATTTCAAATGCAGACATCTTAATCCTTGGGTGTCCTAAAAATTCAATCCAGTTCACAAGAACGAAACTATACGTGCTCAGGATGGACGTGTTGTGTCTACATCTTGCTATTTAATTGGGCAACATAAAAGTGAACAAAATGGCATTAATCAAGCTAGGAGAAAGATTATCGGATGTAGCTTCTATGGTTTCCTGTAATAAATCCAAGTCAAAAACAAAGATGTAAATAAATCAACTGAAAATGAATTTACAGGACTGTCATTAGGTATTTGCACTTTTAAAAACAGCAAATCAATTGGTTACAATAAAGTATTTCATTTTATTGTTTATATCTCATAGAATCCTAGAGTTGGAAGGGACCTCGTGGGCCATCCAGTCCAATCCCATTCTGCCAAGAAGCAAGAAAATCACATTCAAAGCACCCCTGACATATGGCCATCCAGCCTCAGTTTAAAAGCCTCCAAAGAAGGAGCCGCCACTCATTTGCAAACATGATCTTTACTACAGAATATTTTAGAAACAACTTTGCTTGTATAATATTAAGGGGGAAATGCTAAATCAGTGTTAGAACTGTTAACATGCAATTAGAATAATCATGCTTTCTGAAGTAAGATTCAAACGGAATGAGAAGAAGACCATAAAACAGACAAAAGTCAGTTGAAGTCTAACCCCATGACTATACAAAAGTGAGGGGAAAGGCATCACTTTCCTCTTTGGGCCATTTCAAATAAACACAGTGGTAAACCATCTACTTTTAGATGGTATTATTACTGAACCTTTAACTAGCACATTGCTGGCACACATATGCACTTTGCTCTGCTGAAGTCATCCAAAGAAAATAGCACTTTCTTTATAGTGAAGTTTAAGTCCATACAAATCAATAAGACTATACAAGTGTTATTCAGTGACTTTCTTTTATGGTATACTGAATATTTGCTCAGTTTGCATGTCGCAATGAGTGAGGAATGCAGGGGAACCCTGGTTGACTATGCAAGTTGCCTAACTGCTCCTGTTTGCAGCACGAGAGGCTCAACAAATGGCAGGTATCCTCTCTCTCTCACTTCTTGGGATATGTGAACCTGGCATGCAGATGGTTCCTTGGGTTATTTCCTCATCAACAAGCCAGAGAGGCAACTCCAAAACAAACCTTGGATTATTTCTTTGGCTTGCCAGGAAGGAAATAACCTGACAGACATCTCCTATGGGATTTACATATTATTTATTATTATTTATTTAAAACTTTTGTATCCCTATCTTCTCTATCTCTGTAGAGAGACTCAGACCGGTTAACAGCAAGGATTCAATACTAACAATCTAAAACATCGCACATCAACAATAAATTAAAATACATATGGACCAAAATACATAAAAGCCAGTTCGTCAAGATAAAATCCTGTCCCACTCAGTCCGCGTATGTGGTCAATAACTTTAGTCAATTGCCAAAAACAAAAACAAAGAAACTGCAGATAATTTCATCATGAGGAGAAGCCTGCACCTTTTCACAACATCCCAACGCAGCTACTATTTGCATCAATAGCTTTTTTGAGCAATGGTTCATTGCATGTATTCTTAAATATGAAACTGATAAAGTATTTTATTAAGCAGGAATGCCATGTTAAGTAATGGATCTACTACTTCATCACACTAGAGAAAAAAATCCACTTAAAATCCAGTTTTTGTCCCATGCAGAATTCTGGGATTTGTAATTTAGGGATGAGTCTTTAACAGCCTCACTAAACCACAAACCTCAGAATTCTGCAGGATGAAGAAACCTAATTTTAAGTGATTTTTTTCTCTAGTGTGATGAACTCAATATATATTCCATCACTGTCCTTGTCAGAATCCAGCAACTCACAATAATGTAATCCAACTACTTAATAAAACCAACCAGAAGGAGGTTTACTAAATGAAAAAATGGGACATCATCATAGCAAATTTTATGATAGCACATAATCTCTGTCAGATTCCGAATCAAACAGAACCTGATTTTCTGTTTGCCCTATATCTTGACGTAAAGCTAGAGTTTGAAATGCCTGTAACCAGCAACCCAGAATGGATGAATGTACTTGTACTGACCGGCTCAGACTCATAGTAACAGTCATCCCAGCTCTGTTTGGGGGGTCTCTTTGTCATCTGAAAGCAAGGCAAATTGGGTAAGTAACATTGCACGTCCCACACGAGTGTCTCTTCCCAGTTTTGTTTAACTGTCTATCTTCCTCTCTATGAACACATGTTCTTCCATTTTAGAAAACAGTGCCTAGTTTCCTCTTGTTTCTCTTTTCCTTGGAAATGGAACTACAACAATGCATAATTTGCTACATCATCAGGTTTTCAGTTCAAATCAATGTGAACATTTTCCACACATTCACATACATTGATATATTAAGAAGCTTTGCAACATTACAAACAATGGGTTGTAGGTTTTTTGGGGCTATATGACGTTTTGCCTGCATCTATGGCAAGCATCCTCAGAGGTACCTCACTGCCTCTCTACCTCTGAGGGTGCTTGCCATAGATGCAGGCGAAATGTCAGGAGAGAATGCCTCTAGAACATGGCCATATAGCCCCAAAAAACCTACAACAACCCAGTGATTCCGGCCATGAAAGCCTTTGACAATACATTACAAACAATATTTAATTATTCTGAAAAAATATACCAAATGAAAGACTTCCATTTTGTTAGAAGAGATTTCTATACTTTTAAGTAAAAGTTTTCAAATGCTACATATTAAATTCTTCAAATCAAATTAGATTTAGATTATTTTAGCACTTTATGTCCTGTTGTTCTAAAAATATCAAGAAACCTAAACTGAAATGTCTATGCATTTTCAAATATGAAATAGAATCCCTCGGCTTCATCTGAATCTCATCTGAATCAAATCACTGTTGCATTTTGGAAGATATAGCCTCTCCTTTATGAAACCCTTTCCTTTTAAACACATTTCAACCATTTTAAAAACAGGAAGCTTTTCAAATTAACCCCACATTCTCTTAAACTGGAATAACTGATATACCCCCCCCCCCCAAATTATATAGCAATTTGTTTGGAATTCAGCCTTACAAGCAAGAAGCAACACTACTGGAAATCCTAAAAGACTATCAGAAGGGAAGACTACTTCACCACAAATACTCCCATCTGTTTTCTATTGCATCAAGTACTCTTACATCAAGAGAACAAATTACATAAATGTTATGGAATATTAGTATGAAATGCAGTTCCTACAACAGACCTCAATTATGCACACACAGCTGGGATTAATGCTTTAGTCACTCTTATTTGTTAAAGCACAGAAATATCATGCTATTGAGCAGAATTACAAAGACATGCAGAATGGCTAAAACAATTGTCTGACCATTCTTGAGAATATCAGTATTTTCCAGGAGTATGGTATCTGATGGTTCATAAAATTTGAATAGAAAACCATTTGTACTCTTTATGAGAAATGCAAACCAAACTAGATGTCTTCTAACTCATTACCGACTTTATGAAAAGAAAACTTGAATGCTTTCGGAATAATTTCTGCTACTTACTTGCATTACTCACAACAATGAAATTACAGTGTCATGAAATCCTTCAGCAGATGACAACAAAATAGGTTTCAAGACAAGAGCCTTCAGGAAAGAATGTGTCGTTGCTCTAGAGACAAATATATTCACCCATTACAAAGCTGCCTGTATATTCCCACCTGATTAAGATAATGGTATTCGTCGGGTTGTTTAAGGTGAAATGCTGACTTCTCTTCCTCACTTGCTCCTGCCAGAAGGTAATAAAATACATGGTAGTTTCTGGGGGAAAGAAAGAAAAAAACAGTTAACACTCAGCTATTCTATCCCAACACAAACTTAACAAGTAATCCAGTTACACAACTATTAGATGTATAAAAAGAAACAAATGTCAGAACAAAGATCTGAGGTACACACATTCTAAAACTGGCATGGACAAACTTCAGCCCTCCAGGTTTTTGGACTTTAACTCCCACAATTCCTAACAGCCGCATTTTCAAGCTCCTCCTAAAGACATGGAACAGCCATGCTTTCAAGCTCCTCCTAAAGACTGCCAATGTGGGGGCTTATCTGATATCCTTGGGGAGTGAGTTCCAGAGTTGGGGGGGGGGGCACCATAGATAAGGCCTTCTCCCTCGTCCCCACCTCGTCCCCACCAATGGTGCCTGAGAAGGGGGCAGGAGCGAGAGCAGGGCCTCTCCAGATGATCGAAGAGATTGCGTGGGTTCGTAAACAGAAATGCGGTCACACAGGTAGGCGGGTCCCACACCATTCAGGGCTTTGTAGGTGAGAACCTGCACCTTGAATTGGAACCAGAAAATGAACGGCACCCAATGGAGCTCCTTAAACATGACTATGCTCGTGTTGTGTATACAAAGTATAACAATCTCTCAGATACCACTGATAAAAGATGGTTCTCTAACATCATCTCTCTCATATATTGCATATAAACCAGAATAATTATTAAACTTTTAACATTCTAATTACTGTATTTTCTGGCGTATAAGACTACTTTTTAACCCAGAAATATCTTCTCAAAAGTCGGGGGTCATCTTATAAGCCGGATGCCGTCTTATAGGGCAGGTGCTGAAACTTCCGAGTCAGACTGGAGAATCTGCGGTCGTCGCATATGGTGGGGGGAGCTCAAAAAAGGCGGCATCCCCACCATATGTGGCAACCGTATGAGAGCAGCAAGGGCGACACTGTACAAGTATTGTAGAAGAAAATCCACTCACCAGGATTTGTGGAAAGAAGTGACTTATTGTGGCCCCGATGACGAGGCGCGGGGGCGCCTCACCAGGGAGGCGTAAGTGAAGGGCGGAGCAAGTTGCAGGCATCTGGGACGCCCGGGTATGGAGAAAAGAGACAGAGCAGTGCTGTGCCCAGAAAAACACACCTTTTTCACCCGTCCGGCCCACCCTTGTATCTTATTATCGTACCTCCGTCTCTGCCTCTCAGATCTCGCTCCTAAGGACTGCAATATAGCAGGCATGCATGTGTGAGATCTGAGAGGCAGAGAAAGAGGTACGGTAATAGGAAAAGTACCATATTGAAATAAAATTTGATGTTTTAAATTTTTTTATTTGGTGTGTGTTGGAACAGGGGTAGTCTTATACGGCAAGGATATCTCAAACTCTATATTTTAACTGGAAAGTTGGGGGTCGTCTTATATGCCAGAAAATACGAGTATTTTATATGAACTATTCATTCATTACTCACCGCTCATTATGTTCCTGATAGACTAGTCTGGACTTTTCTAGTAGATATTTTTCAACATAAGCGCTAGAGGAAAGAAGAATGTTAGCTTACTGCATTATTACATCAAATAACAATTGTCATGTTTTATTTTTTACTATATAAGCAAACAGAACCTCACAACACTTCGCACATGAGGGGAGGGACATTGATAATGACTGAAGTGTCTTCTCACTTTTATTTTACTTCAGGTAAGACAACTTGATGCTGCATTGTTCTAAGGCAGGGTTGGGCAAAGGGGAGCCTCAGGATGGATTTTATGAGTCCTCTGAGTCCCAATTTGTTTGCCTCAGTACCCTCTAGGACAGTGGTACTCAACCTGGGGTCCCCAGATGTTTTTGGCCTATAACTCCCAGAAATCCCAGCCAGTTTACCAGCTGTTGGGATTTCTAGGAGTTAAAGGCCAAAAACATCTGGGGACCCCAGGTTGAGAACCACTGCTCTAGGAGACTCGATGACATTTCCACCACATTCACTGCCCACCACCCAACCAGGCCTTTTAAAAATCAGAAATTGAACAGGAATTGATGACATTTACTTCCTATTGTTAAAAAAAGGCTTCTCCTGTGCTTCAAATGGTCCAGAAATGCAAAAATCATGGTTAACATGGCCCAATGTCCTCTCAAAGATGCTTGGGTATTTTAAAATTATTTGTGGTGGGGAGTAGCTCACTAAAATCTTCCAGGGGACTAATGTAACTCCCTAGCCTTTTATAGTTGCCCCAACATTATGACTAGATATGATTCCTTAAGCTATAGATCAGAGAGATGTGACAATACATTTACAGGCAGTTACAAACAGCTGACTTGCAATAGACTTATAATTAAGAGGGGGGGGGGGTGAGAAAAGAGGAATTGAGAGAAATCTACCCCTTGACAGGGAAATTCACTCCTGAAAGAATTATCATGGGGAAAGGGGGTCTCAATGAAGCTTTATCACTAATCCTTGTTTTCACAACAAGACTTTTTTCAAATTCCAGTTCTCACAGGGACAGAAAGTGAGGTGAAATCTTCTAAACAGGGGCACACAGCCAGCAAAACAAATACCACAGGGTTATTAACACTTCCCTATGCTATCCAAAGTTTGTACACACACACACGGCTGGAGTTACACTTAAAATGGATCTGTTCTGACTTGCAAATTTTACTTAAGAACAAACCTAGGGAGCCTATCTTGTTCATAACTTAGGGACTGCGTCTACTAGGTCTCTCCATTTATTAAACAGAAGAACTGTTGTTTTATCCCTCTCATTAAATGCAAGGTTATATGCAGCTGTTTTTCAGTAAAAGTAAGAAAACGTTTGAGATCAAAACAATTAAGGCGAAGAGGCAAGTGGAGTGTCACATATATGTCCTGGGCCCAAAGCTATTCAGCATCTTTATCAATGACCTAGATAATGGGATAGGGGGGCATACTTATCAGCTTTGCAGATGGCACCAAATTAAGCTAGGTGATGCTCCTGAGGATAGATTCAGAATGCAAAAATACCTGAACAGATTAGAGAGTTGGGCCAAAACTGACAAAATGAATTTCAACTGGGAGAAATGTAACGGTTGACAGTTGGACACCTGGCTTAAAAATAATACAGTGGGGTTTTTATTCAAAACAATCTTTAAATCCCTATATATAAAAATAGTACCATTTAGTATACAGACAGTCCCCAAGTTGCAAATTTGTTCTTTCACTGAATGTGTACGTAAGTCGGAACAGGAACATTTTTAAGGGTAACTCCAGCCACACACACTCACATATATAAGCTTTGGCTAGCATAGTGAAGTTTAGCACCTTTGTGGTATTTGTTTTGCTCTCTGTGCCCTGTTTAGAAGATTTCCCCTCACTTTCTGTCCCTGTGATATTGAAAAAAAATGGCTTGTTGTGGGAAAAAGAATTGGTGAGAAAAGTTTTAGTGAAGACACCTTTCTCCATGCCTTTTATGATTGGAATCCACCCTAAGTCCCTTCGGGGAGATATTGGCGGAATACAAATAAAAGTTTTATGAGTATTATTATTATTATTAATAATAATAATGTTTGGAATCTCTCTTGTGATTCAACAGAAAAGCCGCTATGGTGTGAAAAATGTGTGATGAAATTTCCTTAACAGAAGATACCTATATCATGCCAATTATTTGTTCTGCATGGCATGCCCACATCTTTCCCAGACAAGTAACGATGGGCCAGATTTACACGGGATGCTTAACATTCCCATCGTTCATGGACAAATGTGAACAGCTGCAACCGATCCATGCTTAAAGCCTTTTAGTCATTGCTCACTGCTACTTACCCACGCACTGTGCCAGTCTCCTGATAATTCACTTGGATAAACTTGCCAAAGCGACTTGAGTTGTTATTATGTGCTGTTTTTGCATTCCCAAATGCCTGTCAAAAGAAAAGACGTTAAAAGTGTCAAAAAACCTAACAGTGAAATCCTTTACGAAACTCTGGTGGAAGAACAGACTTTCTATGCCTGCTTGTTCACACTGGCAAGCTGCTGGCAGAAATTTTTATTATTATAATAATACACTTTATTATTTATAGGGCCACAATTTTATGGCCTTATTTGTCTTTACACAGCTCCTTTTTCAAATGTTCCTCTTGGTTTTACCCCTCTCCGGAAATATATCAAGAAAAAAGAGGATGCTTTGGATCCAGGGCCACCCTTGACATACCTCTGGGGCAGCTACTTTTTTATCATTGCCCACATTACACAAACCCAAATTACAGATTTTCCTGCAGAGAATTAACAAATTAGGTGTCCTTCTTTGAGACTGGGGTATCCTCAGAAAAAAAAAATCTGAAAAATTCTATGTCTCCTGGAACCCCTCAAAGACTTTTGTCTTAAAGGCTCCAAGAGATGCATACCACACAGTTGCCTTTCACATACAGTTTTCAGCACGAGAAAGGAAAATTAAAAGATACAGAAAACTACAATTATATTTAAACTCACACTCCTAAATATAAACACAGCAGATACAGCTTCATTCAAGGAAGCCAATCTGAGCTCCTATATAACATAATCAAAATAAAACTGCAGATTAGGGTAGAAATAATCTCTCTTGGGTCTAGAGTTCTGTATAAAATACTTTTCTGTTCAAGGCTGCTTAAGAATAAAGTTTGCTTCACCATTTCAGCAAAACAGTACAATTAATATAACTCACATATAAACAATAACACACTATTTTCTGTGTTATTGTTTATATGTATGTTATATTAACTGTACTGTTTTATTTGCTTGCTGTTTTGTTTTTACTGATGTGTTGTTGGGCTTGGCCTCATGTAAGCCGCCCCAAGTCCCCTTGGGGAGATGGTGGCAGGGTATAAATAAAGTATTATTATTATTATTATTTAAAAAGTAACATCTTAACTGAAGAATTTTAAAACACTAGAGATTTTGTCTTCTTAATATTTTTACTCATATCCTTCATCTAGTCAAGATGGCGCGAAATACTGTATCAGGAGGATTTTACAGCATGCTGCCTTCCCAATGAATGAGTGGGTTGAAGATCCTGAGACAAGTTACATCCATGCCTGGCAAATGACTAGATTTATATACCAAACCAAAAGCTGCTCCAGCTGCCATATACCATGAAATACAACCATGATTGTACCTATAAATACAACAACCTATAAATAGGTTGTTCTGGCCTGGTTTACCTGTTCGAGCCCTAAACGGTTCTGGCCCTGTTTACCTGTCTGAACACATCTCTTCCTATGAACCATCTAGGTGTTTAAGATCTTCCGGAGAGGCCCTGCTCTCGGTCCCGCCTTCTTTGCAGATCCAGTTGGCAGGAACAAGAGACAGGGCCTTATCAGCGGTGGCCCCTTGGCTATGGAACGCCCTCCCTAGGGACATTACATTGGCCCCCTCCCTCCTGACATTTCGAAAGAGAGTTAAAACCTGGCTATTCGAGCAGGCATTTGCAGATACAGTATAACTGATTGATTGAGATTCATGGAATGACAAGATGATGCAATGGAAAATGATTGTAACGACGAGACGCTGAGATTTGTATTTATGTTTTTAATTGTTATTGTTTTACATGGTTATTTATATGTAATTGTTTTGACTATATTTTTATCTTGTAGGGCATTGATTGCCAAATGCAAACCGCCTCGAGTAAATAAATAAATAAAGTAAATAAATAATGAAAGTCGTTAAAGCCAATAGGATCTAGTACTCTAGAAAACTAATCTAATGTTGCTTGAATATTTCAGTCATTCTACTTTGCTCCATCCACAGTGCCCATGTCTAACAACAGCAATTCAGTGAGAGGTACCAAGGACAGCAGCTGTAAGGTGACATGCCTAAGAATCATTAAGCGACAGTGGAAATGTATGCTGCCAAGCAATGTTTTGCTAAAGCTGCAACAAAACAAAGGCAAGATCTTTTTAAATGGCTGCAATAGCCTAAACAGCTAAAACACTCCTGGATAATGCTGCCTCCTGAGTGTCCTATGATAGAAACAAGCCCAGAATCACTCTCAAGCCTCATACCTGAACCTTCAGGAAAAATGCAGCCCCAAGCACAATTTCCAAATCATCACAAAATTAACAGGAACAATATATAAAAGCGGAATTATGAGGTTAAAAAAGGCAGATGGCAGCACATGGGTATCAGATTATGAAGGATGAGGTCCTAAACCAGAGTGCTGAACAAGATCTGCAGATTTAACATGGGGAGCTTTTAGAACAGGCATGGGCAAACTTCGGCCCTCCAGGTGTTTTGGACTCCAACTCCCACAATTCCTAGCAGCCGTTAGGCTGCTAGGAATTGTGGGAGTTGAAGTCCAAAACACCTGGAGGGCCGAAGTTTGCCTATGCCTGTTTCAGAATGAGTGAAACTACAGAAACACAAACATCAATCTAAAATAAATAGCCAGTTAAAAGGGTATAATAGCAAAAAAGTACACTTTAAAATTTAAAAAGTACACTTGTTAAAACAATAATTTAAAAACTATTTGGGGATAGATGATTTTTAAAGAAGAACATTTGACTATGATATCACTTATCATACATAGTATTAATTCATGAAGTTCCTTTTTACAATTTGAATATAAGCTGAGCTGTGCATTACAACCATAGTGCAAGGATAAATTTGTTTGTATATTTCTGAGGTAGTAAAATTTTATTTAAGAAAAAATAGAAAATAGCTTCAATAAATATTAAAAATTGCATCTGAGGAGCATGTCAACTGAGAAGCTACACAATGCAGACGACAATATATATGACCAAAATATCATGATGCAGTTAATTTGACATCAATAAATCAGTAACTGAAGAGAATTTTTTCAGACCACTCCCTTCAGCCCACAACCAATCTATATATAAGTAAGAGTTATAAAAAAACACAATCCTACTGGAGAAAAATGACAAGTGACAACATGCTTGACTTCAAGAATATTTTCTCTGTGACAACTATGAAAGGCTTGGAATGATAACATAAAAGAGACTCCAGAATACAAACACAGCTGTGGCCAACATTCCTAATGTTAACCCATTTCAAGACTTGCTATATCCAAATTAAATAGCATAATATCAGCATAAAAGGCAGATGTTTAAAAGGATGTTTAGGCCATATAATATTCCAAGTATTTAATTAAAAATGCAACTTGATAACTTAAAAATTCAGGAATTTGTACACAAGGCCGGTTATGAAACATTACTTATGATTTTTCTATACTTTTTCTCCATACCATGAATTATTACACCTTACATCTGTTTGGTCATTATAAAATATTATTCTTGGTTATTAATCAGAGTTGTACTGAGAGGGGCTGAATATCAAGTGAATCCCAAGCAATTATGAGAGTCAAAGTTATCTGGAATACAAATCTAAACACCTTTATGTTCAAATGGCCTAAATTTACCAGAGTTTCTAATGATAATTTAGAAAAGGGTCAGACAAAGAAAACAAATACATTAGGACTCTGCTTGTGAATTCCCTTGCCAAAATGAACTCTAAAAATAATAAACAGTGCCAGTGTAAACTTCTGCCAGTTGCTTGAGTTTTGGTTAATGGAGAGTCTACTGCAGGAGTCCTCAAACAAAGGCCCGGGGGCCGGATACGGCCCTTCAAGATCATTTACCCGGTCCTCGCTCAGGGTCAAACTTAAAACTGTTCTTCATTTTAATTATGGCATTATTTTAAGTGTTTTTGCACTACAAATAAGATATGTGCAGTTTGCATAGGAATTCATTCATGTTTTTTTTCAAATTATAATCCGGCCCCCCAACAGTTTGAGGAACTGTGACCTGGCCCTCTGTTATATGAAACACCATTAGGAACCAAATACTGCCGTTGGCGCTTGATGAATAGAGTCTTCTGTGAAATTCTGAAAATCTTTAATTAGTGGGATTGATATTTTGCTCTGTCACTAAATGTGTGCAGCCCAGAGAATTCCTTATGTTAATTCCAATGATTCATACAAAGACAGAGTGAGTCTCCTCAAAATGGGTTTATTGTCTTTGGCAGATCACAAATGGCGGTTGTCACAATGACTGCTTATTGAATGCACATTGTTTTACCGAAGAATGAATGAGTGTTTTCTTCTTCTTTAGACATTTGGTTTAATCAATCTAAATATAAAAGAAGGCTGGAGAAAGTCCATTGCTTCTCCATAAATAGCTGGAAGTGATTGAAACAGATGCTGCTTACCAGACATTACATTTTAGTCTTTATTTTGATGGCCAGAAAGGATTCCCCAAATCCCTAAACAAATGGAAAAAGCTTGAACACTGTCAAGAAACCTTGTCCAGAAGAACAACAGCTGGAGTGACGGAAAGGGGAAGTTTCACCAAAAATAATTTCATTTTAAACGTGTGAGAGAAGGAGGGCTGTGAAACAAGCATACATGAAGAAAGCCAGCAGCTGGCTAGGCTTCTGGGACCCAGGCTAAAGGAGAAAACAAACATATTTGAATGGGGAAAACAGCATGGGTGACGGGAAGCAAAAGAACTGGCAAATGAAAGATGATACCACAATGAGCTAAAGAGAAAAAGAGGTGACATGAGCAGGAACCTAATGAAGGAAGGGGAGGGTGGCAATAGAAATAGAGAAAGGGGAAGTTCATTGTCAGTTATGACTGACTGGGCACATGCGGAAGGAAATAACTAGATGCAGATGTCTGAGGAATTCTACATCAAAATCTGGGAGGAAAGAGCTTTTAAGCCACCTTACCACCAAAACATTTCCAAGATATAAATCAGCCCTTGCTAACATATCACTATAATGTAATGTGCCAAATGTTGCTGCGTGATGTAACACAACTGAACAGGCTTCAAGCAGCTATAAACGATCATATATTCCCTGGTGAGGAGGAGTTGAAGAGGATCTGTCTGTCTAAAATCTATTAGAAATTGGCTTTGGAAATCAGGAACATTATATTTGGCTGGACGTAAAACATACATGAAGGACAACACCAAGTCATATTTTTGTGCTATACTACAATTAGGCACAAGAGAATCTTGAAATTACTTTGATATCCAAAGTATATCCTCAAGGGATAGAATAAATTCATATGACTGATCAGGGGACGGGATGTGTGCCTTGGGGACAAATATTGTATAAAGGTGTAAGCAAACGTAAAAGATGAAGGTCTTCTTTTTAAAAAATGTAGTGAAGGAAAGTTGTGGAAAAATATTAGAAAATATTCAACATTAATATTTGGGAATCATTCTGGATCAAGTGCATAATCTACAGTCTTGGCTGGCAAGACAGGTAGAACAAGTAAGCTTGGCTGAATTCAAACTGAGACACGAGGAAGCCGCATATGATGAAATCTGTATCCCTATCAAGTTAAGTGAGGCTTTCCGCTTGACAACAGAGTTAAGATTTATAATTGACTGTACACACCATCCATAGAGATACTGTGCAATAATCCACATGTCAACATTGCATAACTTCTGAAATTTTACAATACTTCCTTGAGTATACTATGCCTCAGGATATTCATTGCTACTTGGATGTAGTGAGCATCAGAACAATAGACAATAGAACAAGAGAAGCAGAATATTCTTCCTTCAATAGGATTTTACTAGAATCATCTGTCACTATCATTCCTCCCACAAATACAATCTCATCATGCTTGATCACTAAATAATAAATAGTTGACTGTACCATGCTTTCGGGAGGCCTTCATTGAAACATATCTCTACTCCTCAACTTAACCACAGCTAACCCTTAGAGATTAATACTAAGAGATTATTACTAAGAAGGGTTCTGAAATCAAACCCTCCCTGGTTTGCATTAAAGTCTGATTTGCACTCTTAAGGTTACTCAAGATCAGCCATAGCCATGGTTAATGTAGAATACAAAGGAGGATTTACATGAGAGGAAAAAGAACATATAACCCAGTAGCCAACAAGTCATATCTCCTGGACACAGTGGAACAGTCCTAATCTGCTCTTCACAAACTGACTGGACAAGAAGCTACACACAATTCAAAGTGTTTACAACGATCCAAGGTAACACCAAAGGCTACTTTTACATTTGGTAAATTCTGATCTCACCTAACCTAGTCTGCATAAAACCTCCTCTACTCCATCATGCCTTTTCTAAAGACTGAGAAAGTTTAGCTACTGCACCCACTCCCTTCCAGGAGATTGGATGGTAGCCAAAAGGGCATCACTTAGGAAGACCAAAGCTGAGAACATTCACAGCTATTTGGGTCTATTTTAAGGCAGGAATTGACAACTTGTGGTCCTCCAAATGTTGCCAGACTCCCATCAACACTGTCTAGTAGTGTGGAGTGCAAAATTGCAGCCATATAACTTTTAGAAGACCACACATTGCCTATCCTTGTTCAGATGGAATGTCATGATTCTCAGTGACAAACACAGATATTGTGATATCATAACATTGTATGTATGAGATTTCAAAGAAGAGCTACAGGCAGGATGATGTAGAAAAACCAGCTCCTGCTCAGAGTTCTTTGGTGTAAAAAATCCATATGGATTTAATATTTCACAGTAATATTTTCCATATGCATTACAAAGAAATGGAAGAAACTTGCTTGTGCAGCATTATGAGCCACTGGCAGATGGTCAGAAGGATAATCACAAAACAACTACTTTATCACTCATTTTTTAAACCTGCATCATAAACTACAGCATGACTTTTGCCTTACCTCAAGCACTGGTCCAGCTCCAAGAATGATTTGTTCAACTCCACTGGCAAATCCTTTTTGGCTAAGAGCAGTGAGGTGATGAATCAAGAAGTTTGTGCTCTGCGTTTTCCCAGACCCACTTTCTCCAGAAATGACAATACATTGGTTCCTCCGACGCAAGAGCATAGCATGGTATGCTACATCAGCCACTGCATAAATGTGAGGCTCCAACTTCCCTAGTTGATGATTATCATACATTTTGACATATTTGGGGTTGTAAATGGGAAGAAATTTAAATGGATTAATGACGATTAGTATGCTCCCAACATATGTGTAAATTTTTTCCTGCTTAAAGCGGTTTCTAAGGTTTTCCAAGAGTGTCCGCTCATTCAGATCAGGCAAAGCACACAGGTCATCGTAGTCTTTGTACTGTGGCTGAGGAAGGAAGCCACGTTCCATCATCCTGCGTCGCTCTTCTGTCACTCGCAACCAGGATTGAAGGCTGGCATAATGTATTGACCCATCGAGATTCTTTTCCCTCAGAAGGAAGCGGTAGTCCTCTCCACTCAAGCGATTCTCTAGTGCCATACGAGGCCATAACATCATGCGCTGGACAGGAGAGTCTGTGGGGTTGAGGATCCATTCCTCCCCTCCAAACTCCTTCACCTCGGCCAAGACGTAGCATTTTGTTTTGTCAAGCTGAAGTTTGTTAATCAGAGAGTCTATCACCTCAGCAGCAGTGGAGGTTTTTCGTGCAATAGTAGGGCAATAGATGGTCCCTTCAGCAATACTCCCAGGGTATATGTGTAGTGTATGCTCACTATCTTCAAAGCGTCTTCTTCCCCCAACATCATTTCCACTCATATTGGACTTCTTTCCATCAGTAACGGCAACCCATCTTTAGAATGGCAAAATAAGTGATCATGGTGTTGTCACTACAATAAATACAAAAATATTTTAGACACAAGATATTTAAGAGAGGCAAACAAACAAGTCAAAGTATACTATAAATGGCAGGATCAATATTCAATGCAGATATACTTTTAATAGCCACTTGTTGATTGGATGTATGCAGAGCCAAGAATTCTAAGACCACCTCTAAAATATTTTTTCTTCCCAAAGATTTTTCTATACATTCAATATAACAGTAGAAAATGTTATCTTGCTTAATAGGTCACATAATGATTGATTTTCATAGTACTTAATTATAAAGAAGCTACTATCCCATCCTTTCCCAGCAGGATTTACTATTGCAAAGAAACCTATCAAAAACAGCTAGGAAAAAGTCACGGAAAAAGAAGATTTTGCTAGAAGTCAAGAAAAATAAGCGTGTCTATCATGCTCCTAACTGAAATAGGAAAATCATATTTTACCCCCTTTTTTGTTTGAGACCATATTATATTTGTAGAGCATGTACATTTTGAGTTAAGGAAAGCAAATGAAGGAAGACATGAGCCTCAGTGTATCAAGTTTATTTTATTCTCTGACAAGTATCTGGCAAGCCTGTTTCTAGAAAAGAGGGCTATCTCAAAATCCTATGTATACAGCTCTGCTGTACTTAAGAGGAAGATACAAAAGAGTACAAGTTAAACCCTCTGTTACTTACTGAAATTACCTTCATTATAAAAACTTTGTTACTTGTGTTGTTCTACAATTATACAACTTAAAACAAAGGTTAAAAACACACTTTTAAATAACTGAGATTCAGCAAATTATAATTCAGCTCTTTCCATTTCAGAAACTTAGACGAGACTACACTTATTTTAGGTTCCCAATGTGAGTAAGTAATGGTATATCACATAATTGATTATAATTATGGTTAAGATACTCATTCATGGTTTAAGAGATTTCAATATAAGTCAGTAATATAATTCAATACTACATTTCCTCTGGTAATTGATGATGGATAAGAAAGAACAAGATGACGTTCTTCCTTAATTACTATATATGTAAACTGGCAGAATGGCATTTATTTGTTTACTATAAGGGCCCAAGGCTATTAGCAATCCAAAGTACTGTTCAACCCCCTGATTAATATTCAAGAAAATCAGGTTTAAGATCAGATTCAAGGCTCAAGAAAGAACTGTCATTATGCACACACAGATGCTTCACTTCTTTTAGAAAGCTTAAACTGATTTTGGAAGACTTGAAAGCTACATTCTAGCAATACGTCTGGGTTAACGTTTTCAAATCCCCAACTCCATAAAAACATTGTAAACCATTGTAAGATATTTAATAATGTTGCAAACTATTCAAAACATTACCAAATTAGGCATCCTAAAAGAACATGATGATAATGATGCATTCTTACACCTCTTCCTATGGATTGCGATGGGGAGCATCATCTCAACAACAAAATACAAAGTATAAAACAAATTAAAAGCAGTAGTTTAAGAGAACATACAGTAGAGTCTCGCTTATCCAACATAAACGGGCTGGCAGAACGTTAGATAAGTGAAAATGTTGGATAATAAGGAAGGATTAAGGAACATCTATTAAATGCCAAATTATGTTATGATTTTACAAATTAAGCACCAAAACATAATGTTTTACAACAAATTGACAGAAAAAGCAGTTCAATACATGGTAACGTTATGTAGTAATTACGAATTTAGAACCAAAACATCACAATGTATTGGAACAACTTTGGATCTGGGTGGGAGGCAGACTGTGTTGGAAAATATAGAACGTTGGATGAGCGAAGATTGGATAAGCGGGACTCTACTGTACATGCTCAATAAATCTTAAAACAACCAGTACAGCTGTCAAAGACAATTGAGTTAAGCCCTTTAAGCAAATCCATGTGGCTTGCAAGTAGTTACACACAGTGAAACGCACAATGAGCCAAACTTTTCCTGAAACCTTATCAAGACAATAAAAGGTGCTTTATACACTGAAAATCCATTTAAAAACTATAATTCTGCCAAGCCTATGTGCAGCAATATAAAACCTGAATGCATTGCAGTCACTTCCAAAATTGTTGGTATATTTTTGCACATCCAAAAGCCCAGAACCAAATGCAAAAATGAAAAAGAGTGCAGTGGAAAGAGGCTATGGCTCTGTTATGTCTGCTCAATGGCTGGCATTAAGTGATAAGACAGAGAGTAGACAACGAGATGCCCATATGTTTTCAGTATCAAATGGTGAACACAGAAAGGAGGATGCCATTGTGCTCATGCCTTGCTTGTGAGATTCCAATTTTAATTTATTTGTGCTAACTTCCAACTTATGACAATCCTATGAATTAAAGATCTTGCCATTCAGGGTTGTGCAATTCGGGGAAGTGACTTCCTTTACTGAACCTATCTATGTAATGTGGTCTTCCTCTTTTCATACTGCTTCCTTAATTCAGAGATACTGTTTCATTTCTCCAAAGAACAATAGCCGCAGTTGAGTCATTCTGGCTTGTGGTGTGAATTGATTTGCTCTAGGACCAATTTGTTTATAATTTGGCAGTCTATAGAATTCTCCTTCAGCCTCACCTTTCAAATGAAGTGACACACTTCTTGTTTCACATTCATACATACAAACTGGAAATACAGTACAATTCCTGTATCCACAGGGGATATGTTCCAGGACTTTGCATGGATACTTCTAACGGTTATGAAGACAACACATGGACGTTTTCAAATTTTACACCTCTACACAAAAGCCAATTGTTGTAACTTGCTTCATTTTCAGTGGTGTCAAATCTCATCATGCTTTCAAATTACTTGTTTCAACATCACATTATTTTAAAAACCCATGATAAGATGACATATTAGGATTATATGGTGAAAATTATTTACAATTCTAACATTTATTTGGTTCTTAGCTTTAATGTTTTCATTGTACCAGCACCCAGTTTCTAGAAAATTGGGTTTTTAAGGCAGTGATCTATGATTCATCATGCTGTACAAGAAATATTATGTACATGCTGAAATATTACTCAACTATAGTCTGTGGAATTTATGACCAAATTCAAGAAAAGGAATGCTTCCAACATCCACTTAAGGAACAGATCAATAAAAAAGTGGCTTTGTAAAGCAAAAAGAGCAGCCAAATTGGTTTGCACATCCTGGTACTTAGTGGGGGAAAGTAATCTATTAAGGCTCAAATATACTATGTATAACAATACAATTAATCAATAATAATTTTAGTAAATGTGGCATAGTTTTTAAAAAGTAAGCAAAACTACCTGAAGCTACATGCATATTATTTTAGGAAGTCGTGTTCTCTGTATCTTATGAGGCAGAACTGCTCTAAAAGTTAAAGTGTTCAATATTTTCCTACTTACCCAATAAGAAGCTATATCCTTCTGTGTTTCCTCCAAAATAAGACACTGATTTATATTTATTTTTCTTCAAGAAGACACACTATGGCTTATATTCTGGGGATGTCTGGTCCAACAATCTGCATTTTTGGGATGATCCCTCTGGGCTCAGTAGAAGACTGCTTGCTCAAGCTTTTCCCCCTATACCCCCTGGTGTTTCTGTGGAGTGAGAGAGACCCACAGACTGTTTCTGGTCAGTGCCGGGGTGCGGCAGCTTTACTGGTGTTTGGAGGTGGGGTGAGACAGATCCATGGACTGTTACTGGCTGGTGCTGGGGGAGAGAGACCTACAGAGCTGAGTAAAACGGTAGCCACAGCTTTACTTCTTCCCCTTGAGGACACACAATATCTAAAGCAGAGTGTCCTGCTCCTCACTTCACTGGGGAGAGTTTTATTTTCACTTTCTATGTCTCCCTCTATGCCTCGGCTTGCGGCACACACAGAACAACCTGGACCTGACAGGGGAAGCTGGCCTTGTACGTTACATAGCCACAATTATCACAATGTCTTAATTTCAGGGTATAGCTTATATTGTGCAAATGCTTAGAAATCCTGTATGTCTTATTTTGGGGGAAACAGGGTTTGTGTGAAACCTGGAGAGGTCTCCCTACTGCAGTTGTTTAGAGAGTGTGAATAAATTTACTACAGAAAAGGTGGGGCCATTTTAATCAGAATTCTTTGAATGGGACAATGCCATAATGAATGCAGAAAACTGTTCTGTGCTTTATAGATTATATCAAAATCGGTAATAGTATGAAAGCTGGGTCTGGAACTCTGAGCCTTACGCTGTTTCTGCTTCGCTCCTTCGGGAGCGCTGTTCTTGCAATGCAGAACGGAACACAGATATTATAGAAGGAATGTAAGAGTTCTCTAATGGTAAAACCTTTACCTGAACCCTAACCCTTACCCTAAACTTTACCCTAACCCAAAGTCTAACCCTTTACCCTAATTCTAACCCAAATCCTAAACGTTACCCTAAACCAGGGGTCCTCAAGCTTTTTAAACAGAGGGCCAGGTTACAGTCCCTCAAACTGTTGGAGGGCCGGATTATAATTTGAAAAAAGAAATGAATGAATTCCTATGCACACTGCACATATCTTATTTGTAGTTCAAAAACCACTTAAAACAATACAATTAATTAAAATGAAGAACAATTTTAACAAATATAAATTTATTAGTATTTCAATGGGAAGTGTGGGCCTGCTTTTGGCTGATGAGGTACGATTGTTGTTGTGTGCTTTCAAGTCATTACAGACTTAGGTTGACCCTAAACGAGGGCCGGGTAAATGACCTTGGAGGGCCACATTCGACCCCCAGGCCTTAGTTTGAGGACCCCTGCCCTAAACCTAAGCCTAACCCCTAATCCTAACTATACCCCAAACCCTAAACCTTATCCTAACCCTCCCTTCCTTTCTATCCTTCCACCAAACTACAAAGTATATTCCCGCCCTCAGTGTGCTGCTCTCCCCTTCCCTTATTCACAACAGCCGTTGCAGAATGTGCGTAACATTCAGAGCTTCCAGACCCAGCTATCATACTATCACCGCAAAATCTTTGATTGCATAGATCATGAAAACTATGGATCACTCTTAAAAAATAAGTATGCCACAACATCCGATTGCCC